CTCCCAGTGGAGGAAACACACAGGTGGCCAGCGCGACTCTCATGGCCGGTGCAGCGGTTCCGCCTCTCGGAGCAAAGTAAACAGGTTCGGAGGACCTGCACGGGTCCCCAGCAGGACACCAGAGCCCGGCGCAGCCGCTGTGACGGCACCTCAGCGCGGGAGCGCTCAGCGCAGAGTAAACAGGACCGGTTTCCCTTCTGACCGAGGTTTGGAGCCCCAGGAAGGCAGAGTCGCCTACTACGGACACAAGAAGGAAGCCAGACAGGAGAATCCTGGGCAGAAAAGCACCATCAGTTTTAACGCCGCTGCTCTGGCCCTGGGAACTAACAACCTGGACGCCCACTCAAGAGACCTAATCGGAAAGTTGGTAATTTCAAAGAGACAGGAGGATAAATTTACAATGACGGGAAGAAACCAGCGTAAAAAAGCTGAGAATACTCAAAATCAGAATGCCTCTCCCTCTAAAGATGATCACAGTTCCACATCAACAATGGAACAAGGCTTGATGGAGAACGAGCGCATCCAGATGACAGAATCACTCTTCAAGGAATGGATAATAAGAAACTTCGGTGAGTTAAAAGACCATGTTGTAGCCCAACATAAAGAAACTAGGAACTTTGAAAAAAGGTTTGATGAAATCCTATTGAGAATAGACAACTTAGAGAGGAGTATGAGTGAATTAATGGAACTGAAGAATACAATACAGGAACTCCGAGAAGTATGCACAGGTTTAAACACGCGAATTGTTCAAGCAGAAGAAGGGATATCAGGGGTCAAAGTCCAACTTGATGAAATAAAACGTGAAGAAAAGATTAGAGAAAAAAGGATAAAAAGGAATGAGCAAAGTCTCCAAGAAATGTGGGACTATGTGAAAAGACCAAATTTACATTTGATAGGTGTACCTGAATGCGAGGGAGAGAATGAATCCAAGCTGGAAAATACCCTTCAGGATATTATTCAGGAAAATTTTCCTAAACTAGCAAAGCAGGTCAAAATTCAACCCCAGGTAATACAGAGAACACCACAAAGATATTCCTCAAGAAGAGCAACCCCAAGGTACATAATCGTTAGATTCACCAGGGTTGAAACGAAGGAGAAAATACTAAGGGCAGCCAGTGAGAAAGGTCATGTTACCCACAAAGGCAAGCTTATCAGACTTACAGCAGATCTCTCAGCAGAAACTCTACAAGCCAGAAGAGAGTGGGGGCCAATATTCAACATTCTCAAAGAACAGAACCTTCAGCCCAGAATTTCATATCCAGCCAAACTAAGCTTCACAACTGAAGGAAAAATAAAATCTTTTATGAACAAGCAAGAACTCAGGGATTTTATTACCACCAGGCCTGCTTTACAAGAGCTTCTGAAAGAAGCATTACACACAGAAAGAAACAACCAGTATTAGCCTTTCTAAAAATACACCAAAAAGTAAAGAGCACCAACATAAAGAAGAATTTACACCAACGAATGGATAAAACAGCCAGTCAACATCAAATGGCAGTAACCCTAAATTTAAATTGACTAAATCCCCCAATCAAAAGACACAGCCAAAACCCAATGGCATGTTACATCCAGACCTGTTTCACATGCAAGGATACACAAAGACTCAAAACAAAGGGATGGAGAAAGATTTACCAACCAAATGGAGAGCAAAAATAAATAATAAATAAATAAAAAGCAGGAGTTGCAATTCTCGTATCGGAGAAAATAGATTTTAAAGCAACAAAGATATAGTGGTAAAAGGATCAATGCAACAACAAGAGCTAACGATCCTAACACCCAGATAGGAGACTTAGATTCAATGAGACAGAAAATTAATAAGGATATCAAGGACTCGAACTCAGATCCGGAACAAGTAAACTTAATAAATATTCATAGAGCTCTCCACTTCAAATACACAAAATATACATTCTTGTCAATACCACATCACACCTACCCATAAGTTTAAATGAAACATTGATTGGCCATTATTAATACTCAGTTTTTTTCAAAATAAAGCAATATTTCCATTTACTCTCCCTCTTTCTCTTCCTCTTTCTTCCTCTCCTTTACTTATTTTTCTTTTCTTTCCTTCTCTCAAAAAAAAAGAAATCAACTTGTAAACCTCTAGATCCAGGTCGGCAATGTCTCTCTCATTGCTTGATTTCCTTCCTTCCCTTCCCTCCCTCCCTCCCCGCTTCCTCCCTTCCTTCCTTCCTTCCTTCATCCCTTCCTTCCTCCCTACCGTCCTTCTTCCCTCCCTTCCTGCCTTCCTCCCCCCCCCAAAAAAAAAAAATCCCACGTCACTCAAAATTAGACACCACAGAAAGTCGGGGTAACCAATTCGCTGATGCCACAGCTAAAAGAGCAGTATTCAAGCCATCAGCCCCAAGTTGGATAATGGCCATAAAACCCAAAACACTTAAAAACATGTTGAAAGAAACCCAGAACATAGCTCCTACAAAAGGGAAATCTACTTGGAAACAGGGAGGAGATACTTGTCTCCTGAAACATATATGGTGTGGACCTAATTATTCCATTCCAATAAACCCATTATTCCAGTGGATCAGGTGCCCCTTATGAAATATGTTCATAATCTAACTCACTGGAATCCAGATAAAAAGATATCCTGGTGTAAATAATATTACTGGAAACCATCCGTCACAGTGGCACAAAAAGTTTACTCTCAGCCAGGTGTGGTGGCTCATGCCTGTAATCCCAGCACTTTGGCAGGCCGAGGCAGGCGGATCGCTTGAACCCAGAAGGTGAAGGTTGTAGTGAGCCGAGAACATGCCATTGCAATCCAGCTTGGACAACAAGAGTGAAACTCTGTGCCAAAAAAAAAAAAAAAAAAACACAAAAAAAAAACCTGAATGTTGTATATATATTCCAGATGAATCAAAGAACATAACTCAACTTACGACTGACATGAAAACCCAGATAACCAACCTATCAGATCCAAAACTCACTAATCGATTGGTTGAGTAGTTGGTTTGGATCCTGGGTAACTTGGTGGCAGAAGATATTGCTTATAATAGGAATAATAATAATTGTGTTCTGTCCTGTTTCTGTTTTGTAAGTTTTGGTTTTACAGTATGTGCTTGCAAATAAATTAATGCACAACTGAAAGGGCTGGAGTAATAATTGCCCAGAGAATTGCTCTAATTGAAGAGGCGGTAATATAGCCTAACCCAGCTTCCAGGTTTCCTTTCCTTTTGTTGCTATAAATCTGGCCTAGGTCCCTGTGTATATATACATATTTTTTTCTCTTTCTTTTTTCCTTCTTTCCTCTCTATTTTTTTTTAATCTTCGTGGGACACGACTTCCTAGGAATTAGCCTTCCTAACAACGATTGGCATGACTTCCTAGGAATGAGCCTTCATACTGATGTGGGACATGACTTCCTAGGACTGAGCCTTCCTGGCAACGTGGGACCTAAACTTCTAGAAATAAACTATCCCAGCAACAAGAAACCAGCTCAAAAAAGGGAGAAAAAAGCAACCTGAAGCCAGGAACCCATATTCCTTTTAAAATGCTTTCTCCAAAATATTTTAAAGAGGGGAAATGTGAAAGGAAATTAAATTTTGGGACCTCCAAACTCATGTAGCCAAAGGGAAAAGTCAAACTGGGAACTGGGTCATGCAAACCTGCCTTCCTTTTTGGTTTCTCAACAAGGGCTACAAGATGAAAAGCTACACACCTCCCCCATATTTTACCCACAGAGAAATTCCTAGTGAGTTGTTAAAGTTTCACCATGGCAATGCAAATAGATAGCTTATCTTTACAGGTGCAGTTACTCCCCCACCCCCTAACCCACCAGACATAAATGCATATCTGACTGTACCCATGCCCCACTGTGTCTATGTTATCTTACGTAAAATGCAGATTCCCTACATTTTTCCTCTGCTCCTTCTGTTTATGTCACCTTTATGTTGTTGTTTGTTATTTAGTTTTATTTCATATCATAAACTGAACTCTGCAATCCAGCTAGGCATGGAAGGGAACAAGGAAAACATGGAACCCCAAAGGAACTGCAGTGAGAGTACAAAGATTCTAGGACACTGCAAGCAAATGGGATGGAGGGTGCTCTCCTGACCTACAGAAGGAATGGTCTGTTAAAATAAAACACAAGTCAAACTTTAATAAGTTGTCCGCAGTCGGCAATGGTGATCTTCGTGCTAGTCTTGCCATTCCTGGACCCAAAGCGCTCCATGGCCTCCACAATACTCATGCCTTCTTTCACCCTGCCAAAGACCACATGCTTGTCATCCAACCACTCAGTCTTGGCAGTGCAGATGAAAAACTGGGAACCGTTTGTGTTGGGTCCAGCAATTGCCATGGACAAGATGCCAGGACCTGTATGCTTTACAATGAAGTTCTTGTCATCAAATTTCCCCCTGCAGATGGACTTGCCCCCATGCCATTACAGTGTGTGAAGTCACCACCCTGACACATAAACCCTGGAATAATTCTGTGAAAGCAGGAACACTTACAACCAAATCCTTTCTCTCCAGTGCACAGAGCACAAAAGTTTTCTGCTGTCTTTGGAAGCTTGTCTCCAAATAGCTTGGAGGAGATGCAGCCCAAGGGCTCGCTGTTGATGGTGATGTTGAAAAACACGGTGGGGTTGACCATGGCTGATAATATAGGGCTCCTGGCAATGGCAGCATCTACAAAGCGGCTAGTTATGTCATCCTATATAAAAAATGCAGATTCACTAAACCAAACAAAGGCATGAATGACTATTTTCCCCTATTCCCCTCATACATTATTGTATACTTCTCAACATCCCACCCTTTCCCCTTTAAATTTGGAGTCCTCAAAATCATCTTCACAGAAAGGCACAGACCTGTCTCCCAGGCATGTCTCTAACTTTGACAAATAAACCTCCTAAAATTATTGGGACTTATCTCATCATTTTTCTCAATTGATAAAACATTAAAAAAAAATACAGACTGGACCTAGACTGTTCCACACCCAGTGGAGAGCAAAGTTTCCTTCTATTTTTATAGCCAACCAGAACAATGTTCTATGCACATTTTGCCCTCAGTAAGAGGGCCTCTGGCCAAAATTTGGCTAGTGGCCCATTGGGATAAGAAGCTAACCAAAGCTCATGTGTTTCAGTGTAATTTAGAGAGCAGTGTGGAGAATATCATCTCACCAAAGATGAAGATGGCATTACAGACATGAGTACATCTTTTTCTGGGACTAGTTTGAACAGGAAGGCCAAATACCTTCTTTCAGACTGTAATGAAGCATTCATTAAGATAAAGATGGCTTTTTGGCCAGGTGTTGTTGACCTGAGAAAAATCGGGGAGCAGCTTATAACACCATTACTTTACTTGAAGAATTTCATGACTTTGATCAGCCGTTGCCTGACTTAGATGACATTGATGAGGCCCAGGAGTTCAGCTTGGATCAGAGTAGAGTGGAAGAGATAACCATGAGAGAAGAAGTTGGGAATATCAGTATGTTACAAGAAAATTATTTTGGTGATTTTGGAATGGATGATCGTGAGACAATGAAAGAAGGCAGTGCTTTTGTGAACGTTAGCAAGCACTGCTGCTTCTAACCTCAGATTAGCATCTGAACAGAGCACCAGCAATCTGAATGAGAAAATTAACCATTTAGAATATAAAGACCAATATAAAGACAACAATTTTGGAGAAGGAAATGATGGTGGAATATTAGATGACAAACTTAGTAATAATGATGGTGGTATCTTTGATGATCCCCTGCCCTCTCTGAGGCAGGGGTGATGTTGCCAGAGCAGCCTGCACATGATGATATGGATGAGGATGATAATGTATTAACGGGTGGGCCTGAGAGTCCTGATTCAGGATCCTGTTGAACCAGCCAACTATGATCAAACAACACCTGTTACAATGAGGAAGAAGCATTTGCATTGGAACCTATTGCTATAACTGTTGAAGAAACAAAAGCCAAGATGAAGAGGAAGCTAATTGTTGACAGTATCAAAGACTCGAATAGCAAGACAATCAGAGCCCAACTTAGTGATTCTTCTGATATTGTTACTACTTTGGGTCTGGCACCACCTACCAAGAAATAGGTGATGTGGAAAGAGACAGGAGGAGTAAAAAAACTGTTTTCTTTACCTGCTCAGCCTTTGTGGAATAACATACTACTAAAGTTCTTTACATGCTGTCTCACACCACTTGTACCAGAAGACCTTAGAAAAAGGAGGAAAGAAGAGGCAGATAATTTGGATGAGTTCCTCAAAAAACTTGAAAATCCAGAGGTTCCTAGAGAGGACCGGTAACAGTTACACCAGCTGCATGATGTTATCGATGACCCCATTTTGGAAGAGCCAAGCCGCCTCCAGGAGTCAGTAATGGAAGCCAGCAGAACAAACCTGGACATGTCAACTATGCCTCCATCACCACCTCAGGGAGTTAAGCAAAAAGCTGGACAAATTGACCCAGAGCCTATGATGCCTCCTCAGCAGGTAGAGAAGAGGAAATATTGCCTGTAGAACTTCCCCTAGAAGAACCTCCAAATATCTGTCAGCTAACACCAGAGTTAGAACTTCTGCCAGAAAAAGAGAAGGAGAAAGAAAAGGAAAAAAAAAAGATGATGAAGAGGAAATGGATGAAGATACTTCAGGGGGTAATCAAGATCAGGAAGAAAGAAGATGGAAGAAAAGGACTCAGCAGATGCTTCATGGTCTTCAGTGAGCTCTTGCTAAAACAGGAGCTGAATCTATCAGTTTGCTTGAGTTATGTCAAAACACAAACAGAAAACAAGCTGCCGCAAAGTTCGACAGCTTCTTAGTTCTTAGAAAGCAGCAAGCTATTGAGCTGACACATGAAGAACCATACAGTGACATCATCCCAACACCTGGACCAAAGTTCCGTATTTTATGAGGAGCTAGAAGCATTATACCTAGTGTTCATTTCATTAGTGCTTATAAATTGCTCCCATGTGTAGGGTACAGAGAACCCTTTGAGAAAACAAGATTTTTGTCTATACAAAATATTTGCCTTTTTCTTTCTTCCTTTTTTCCTAGTATGTTAAATTTGTCAATTACATCTTTGAGGGAAACTGATTAGATAGGTTGTTTGTGTTCTGATGGAGAAAACAGCACCCCAAGGACTCAGAAGATTATTTTAACAGTTCAGAACAGATGTGTGCAATATTGGTGCATGTAATAGTGTTGAGTGGCAGTTGAAAGACATTTTTATCTTAGTTCATTACTGCATTAAACAGGAAAACCTGTCTGGGAAAATGCCTGACAGTTTAATTTAAAACTATGGTATGAGTCTTTGACAAGAAAAAAAAAGCCTTTCCATCAGTAACACTGGCAATCTTCTTGTTAACCACTCTCCTTATGGATGGTACCTGAAATAACAAGTCATCCTCTTGAGATTTGTTTTAAGTGTAATACCCTGATGAGCAAAGATGTACGTGAAATTGTATTGTGACTGATAGCCTTCAGCTACAAATAGATAGGACTGACTTGGTTTAAAGTGTTCTATTTTGTAAATCATTCCATTTGAGTCTTTCTGATGAACTTGGCTATCCCCAAAATCTGTCATTTTACTGAGGCTCCAAAATGAGCAGAAATAGGCCTGATTAGAGTAGAGCAACTATCAAAAGACATAACTTTCTAGAAGCTATAAATCAAGGTTTTAAAAAGATGTTTGGATATATTTGAGTATTCAGATCATAAAGACAGAAAGTGCCCTGCCTACTACAAGGACAGACTGATGGGAAATTATATACCAGGTCAACTTAACGTTTAAGCAGACAATGCTGTAAAAACTAATGACTTCTCTGATATTTTTTATAAGTTTTAGTACTGATCTCCTTTTCCAGTGCTGCACACTCCTGTGTTTGAAACTTTAATAGCTTTGCAATGAAATCCTATATCCAGTTTACTGTAATTTAACTGAAGAAAAACACATCCAAATAAAGGTCTATATTAACTGACCAGATAGCATCAGAAATCATGTGACTATTATGATTATCAGAGTATGTCTTAACTTTTTAGGGCAAAATTGACACTGAAAGTTCTAGCTTAAATGTTGACACTTGTAGGGAAAAAAATCACTTGAAACTCAGACTTCAGTGTATACCCCATAATTTAAAATTATGTGAAATGTTTTATATTTGTAAACTCATAGTTACTGTTTTAATGATTCAGTTTCCTGAGAGTTTAATTGTAAAAAAATTGCTATTGCAGCTTTATTTTCAATATGATGTGCCTGTAAACCATGGAGTTTTCCTCATTTGTAAAAAGACAATGTAGATAATTGAATGTTTTATTTTAGAAAGGTCATTAGTTTCTTGTTACACATTTTGTTAGTCTGGTTTTTGTTGCTTTTGGGTTAAATACTGTTCTTGAAAATAGTTGATGCTATTTTATGTATAACTTTTCCAATAAAAGTTGTGTTATAAGCTGTAAAAAAAAAACTATTACAGACTGGCTACAATAACTTTATACGAAGTCTGAAAATAGTCAAAGTTCTACGGCAACCAAGCAAACACCCAATCAAGAAAAAGGCACAATCAGATGGTAAGAAATTTTGTGCCATTTTTACTCAACTGTAGCCCATCCTTCCTTCCTGGCACACCTGAGGAAGCAGCAGCCCTGCTGCTAATTCCCTCCCTGGAACCCCAGAGAGAGGAGAGTGGACTTTACTTGCAACATTCTAACCTGTCAAGGGGCTGCATGAGGCACTGGTCTTTGTTTTACCTAATTCAGAGCTCAGACAGGGAAAAGGAGCATGGCTGGATCCTCAGGCTCAGGAAAAGCCACAGGAAATGGTGGGCACTACTCATGAACACTGCAAGGGGTCTACAAACTCACAGACACCTGGAGCAAGAGATCAAAGGTAGAGGAATACAATAGAACGTCTAAGCCCAACCTCAGAGAAGCAGGGGTGAGGCTCTTTAGGAAATTCAGACATTTGTAAGCAGTCATGCATTCAAGGGAATTGGAAGAAAAAAAAAAACAACCCCGGGCCAAGGCAAAATGTATAGTCAGAACAGAACTAAGAAGACCTTAAGACCTCACATGGGGCTGATCCCAAAGCTGACAGCATGCCCTGCTAATTAGTGAAGTTTCTTTATCCACTTGTTGATTGATGGGCATTTGGATTGGTTCCACAATTTAACAGTTGTGAATTGTGCTGCTATAAGCATGCATATGCAAGTTATCTTTTTCGAATAAGGACTTCTTTTCCTCTGGTTAGATATCCAGTAGTGGGATTGCTGGATCAAATGGTAGTTCTACTTTTAGTTCTTTAAGGAATCTCCACACTGTTTTCCATAGTGGCTGTACTAGTTTACATTCCCACCAGCAGTGTAGAAGTGTTCCCTGTTCACTGCATCCAACAACAACATCTACTGGTTTTTTTTTTTTTTTATTTTTTTATTATGTCCATTATTGCAGGAGTAAGGAAGTATCGCACTGTGGTTTTCATTTGCATTTCCCTGATCATTAGTGATGTGGAGCATTTTTTCATGTTTGTTGGCCATTTGTATATCTTCTTTCGAGAATTGTCTATTCATGTCCTTAGTCCACTTTTTGATAAGATTGTTTTTTTCTTATTGATTTTGTGATATAGCTAGCCTAGAGTTAGAATTTGTACACTGCCATAAATTGGACAAAACTGTTTCTATTCTCCTCACAAGGACCGCTAACCTGAGTTTCTGTAAACTGCTAATTTACTTTGCAAAAAGGTAAAGCTGCATACTTCCCCTTATCTGTAACTGCCAGAATTGCTGGCCTTTGATCATCGGTAATGGCCAGAGTAAACACCCCAGATAATTCCATCCTGGCGCCAAGCAACTAAAAAAAAATCTGTGGAGCCCACACCTGCCCAAATAATGTATAAACTAATGTTTATCTTGACTTCTGTAAACCACTTAAATGACAATCGGAATGACAAAAGTCCCCTGGTTCTTGGAATGTCTGCAGCCCCTTCACCCTCGTCTCAGCCTGGGAAGTGATTGACAGCTTTCATTCCCATCTCCACTCTTTACCCCCACTCCCAAGGTGGTTTTGTGGGTATAAAAAGGTCTTGTCTCTTTTCTTTCGGGGCCACGGGTTGGAGAGACGTGAGTCCTCCGTGGTCGCCGGCAATAAACCCTGCAATTTGGCATACTTCTGGTGTTGACTTTCTGTGCTCAGTTCAATGCAACAATTTGAGTTCATTCATTGTAGATTCTGAATATTAGTCCTTTGTCAGATGTATAGATTATGAAGCTGTTCTCCCACTCTGTGGGTTGTCTGATAACTTTGCTGTTACTTTTGCTGTTGAAAAGCTCTTTTAGTTTAATTAGGTCCCAGCTATTTATCTTTTTATTGCATTTGCTTTTGGATTCTTGGTGGTCATGAAATCCTTGCCTAAGCCAATGTCTAGAAGGGTTATTCCAATGTTATCCTGTAGGATTTTTATAGTTTCAGGTCTTAGGTTTAAGTCCTTAATCTGTCTTGAGTTGATTTTTGTATACCGTGAAAGATGAGGATCCAATGTCATTCTCCTACATGTGACTAGCCAATTACCCCAGCACCGTTTGTTGAAAAAGGTGTCCTTTCCCCACTTTATGTTTCTGTTTGCTTTGTTGAAGATCAGTTGGCTTCAAGTATTTGGGTTATTTCTGGGTTCTCTATTCTGTTCCAATGGTCTACATGCCTTTTTTTTTTTTTTTTTTTTTTTTTTGAGACAGAGTCTTACTCTGTCACCCAGGCTGGAATGTGGTGGCACAATCTTGGCTCACTGCAATCTCCACCTCCCGGGTTCAAGCAATTCCTTGCCTCAGCCTCCCGAGTAGCTGGGATTACAGGTGCCCACCACCATGGCCAGCTATTTTTTATATTTTTAGTAGAGATGGGTTTCACCATCTTGGTCTTGAATTCCTGACCTCATGATCCACCCACCTCAACCTCCCAAAGTGCTGGGATTACAAGCGTGAGCAACCACGCCTGGACCTACATGCCTATTTTTATACCAGAACCATGCTGTTTTGGGGACTATGCCCTTATAGTAAAGTTTGAAATCAACTAGTGTGATGCCTCCACATTTGTCCTTTTTGCTTAGTCTTGCTTTGGCTATGCAGGCTCTTTTTTGGTTCCACATGATTTTAGAATTGTTTTTTCTAATTCTGATAAGAATGACGGTGGTATTCTGATGGGGATTACATTGAATTTGTGGATGGCTTTGGCAGTATGGTCATTTTCACAATATTAATTCTACCTATCCATGAGCATTCGATGTGTTTCCATTTGTTTGTGTCATATATGATTTCTTTTGACAGTGTTTGTAGTTCTCCTTGTAGAGGTCTTTTGACTCATTCGCTAGGTATATTCCTAAGCATTTTATTTATTTATTCATCTGTTCATTTATTTATTGCAGCTATTATAAAAGGGGTTGAGTTCTTGATTTGATTCTCCACTTGGTTGCTGTTGGTGTAGAATCTCATCTACAAATAAGTAGAAGAGTTACTTATTTGTGTACATTAATCTTATATGCAGAAACTTTGCTGAATTCTTTTATCAGATCTAGGAGCTTTCTGGAGGAGTCATTAGGGGTTTCAAGGCAAACAAACATATCATCAGCAAACAGTGACAGTTTGACTTCCTCTTTACCGATCTGGATGCTCTTTTTGTCTTTCTCTTGTCTGATTGCTCTGGCTAGGACTTCCAGTACTATGTTAAAGAGGAGTGGTAAGAGTGGGCATCCTTGTCTTGTTCCAGTTCTCAGAGGGAATGCTTTCAACTTTTCCCCATTCAGTATTATTTTTTTATTTTTTTCAACCGGAGTCTTGCCCTGTCCCGCAGGCTGCAGTGCAGTGGTGCGATCTCAGCTCACTGCAACCTCTGCCTCCCAGGTTCAAGCGATTCTCCTGCCTCAGCCTCTGGAGTAGCTGGGACTACAGGCACATGCCACCACACATGGCTAATTTTTTTGTATTTTTAGTAGAGAGGAGGTTTCACCACGTTAGCCAAGACAGTATCAACCTCCTGACCTTGTGATCTATCCATCTCGGCCTCCCAAAGTGCTGGGATTACAGCGTGCGCCACGGCGCCTGGCCTATTTATTTATTTTTTGAGATGGAGTCTCCCTCTGTCACCAGGCTGGAGTGCAGTGGCGTGATCTCGGCTCACTGCAACCTCCACCTCTCGAGTTCAAGCGATTTTCCTGCCTTAGCTTGCCAAATAGCTGGGACTACAGGCGTGTGCAACCATGCCCAGCTAATTTTTGTATTTTTAGTAGAGACGGGGTTTCAACATGTTGTCCAGGACGGTCTCTATCTCTTGACGTTGTGATCCACCCCCACCTCGGTCTCCCAAAGTGCTGGGATTACAGGCATGCACCACTGTGCCCAGCCTCCCATTCAGTATTATGTTGGCTGTGAGTTTGTCATAGATGGATTTTATTAAATTAAGATATACCCCTTGTATGCCAATTTGGCTGAGAGTTTTAATCATATAGAGATGCTGGGTTTTGTCAAATGCCATTTCTGCATCTATTGTGATGATCATGTGATATTTGTTTTTAATTCTGTTTATGTGGTGTATCACATTGACTTCTATTTTAAAACCATCCCTGCATCCCTCATATGAAACCCAGTTGGTCATGATGGATTATCTTTTTGATGTGTTGTTGGAATCAGTTAGCTAGTATTTTGTTAAGGATTTTAGCATATACATTCAATAAGGCTATTGGTCTGTAGTTTTCTTTTTTCATTACATGCTTTCCTGGTTTTGGTATTAGGGTTATGCTGGCTTCATAGAATGAAATAGGGAGGGTTCCTTCTATGTCTTATGGAATAGTGTCAAAAGGATTGATGCCAATTATTTGAATGTCTGGTAGAAGTCTGTTGTGAATCCATCTGGTCCTGGACATTTTTGTTGGTAATTTTTTTAATTACCATTTCAATCTCATTGCTTGTTTTTGGTCTGTTCGGGGTATCTCA